TTTTTCACAATTTTTCGTCAAAGGCACTTGAGATTGGTGTGGTGGGGTAAGACAATACGCGATTAGGAGTTTGATAACCATTCAAAGACCCACTGACCGATTTTATTGAATTATTGATTTTTTCTCTTTTTTGAGTTGCTCGAATTGTGTACTGAGGTAATTTCATATGCTGCGATTTTGATAACCATTAAATTTGCCTAATCTCATTAATTTATCGATTTTCGCTCTGAACTACTGGAAATTGGTGAATAACGGTTAATTTACACGTTGGTAACAAATACGATTTTCTTCGAAGTGATTCTACTGCTTAGATATTTTTTTGTTTTTTGAATTTTCCAATCTTAGCGATAACTACCTACCATATAATATGCACAATTTTGCTCTAAAGCTTAAACTCGCATTTGTACAGGAAATTTGAATAAATACATATTTAGATACTTAGATGGCCTCTCTTTGCTCGTCTGCAGATCCCAGCATTTTTTCCATCCGTTGCGGCCTCTCGTCAGCGTCATACATACTGGTATTGAATTTCGGCGGCCGTGATCCAGATCCATTGCTCGACCAGCTAAGATTCAGCTGGTTCATTCAGGCAAAGAATATGTCATTCCATCTGGTCCGTGGCCTCTTTGAAGACGTTCTGCTTTGCGAGGGATCAAGTCCGGAGTTTTTAGTGTCCATCTATCGTCTCCCCATCTCAGTATGTGACCACCCATCGATTGTTGAGAGACATATTTGGCTGGATGGCGAAGAAGAGACATTCTCATATCTGAGCGAAGTTCGACGAGATGTTAGGTGTGAAGCGAACAAGTGGGCTCGGAGCTCTGGGTCCGTCAGCTGGTCTGTGGCTTCCTTTATAGGCCCGAAGGCTGCCCAAGCTGCTCTTCGCCTCCTGCTTTGTTCTTCTTTCAAATCGTTCTCCAGGTTGATCGAGCGCTCGGAATAAACGTAAGAAGACGTCTCCGCGATATGGAGAGCCTTCTAATTCCATTTCCTGATCCTCACAAAAAAGCATTTTTCATGAACTGAGTCTTCTTCTGGTTAATTCGCATTCCTATCCGTTTCCCTACTTCGTATAGTTCTTTCAATCGTCACCGCTTCAGTGATATAACTTGAGAAGAAAGCAATATTGTCCGCAAAACGATGGTTTAAGAGGAATCTCCCATCAATTTTATACCTCTCTCGTTCCAATCCAGAGATTTAATTATACACTGCTGCGGTAAACAGCTTTGGCGTCATGGTGTCGCCTTAGGAACCCCTTTTGATATCAATATGCTAAAGGGACGATGGGAAAGCTGTGCCATTGTAGGGTCCAATG